TGTGTGTGTGTGTGTGTGTGTGTGTGTGTGTGTGTGTGTGTGTGTGTGTGTGTGCCTGATTCGGTGGGGGTGGGAGGGGCGGCCCATCCCCCACCAATCAATCAATCAATCAATCAATCAAAAAAAAAAGAAAAACATTATCTATTTTGAGTCTGGTTTTGTTTTTGATTTTTTAAAAATAATTTTAATGCTCAAAAAATAAAAATAAAAATATGGGGATGTAGAGAGCAAAAAAATCTACACCCCCATGTATATATATATTTTTTCACATATGTTTTGCCTGCGAAAAAAAGATCCGCGGGCCGAGTTGTACCACATTAAACTCGGTTCAACGCGGAGTTGAAACGGGAGTTGAACGGGAATTGAACAGTTCAACTCAAAATCCCCCCGTTGAATCCGATTTCGGACACATAGGGCGGAAGCGTGATGCGACGCCCGGGGGATAAAGTTCGAGCTAGGGCCACAGCCTGTGCTTCCGTCCGTCGGGACGAAACATTACACCATGCAAAGATCAATGAATGCGGCTGAAAACGAATACACCCAGCTCTCTTTCTCCGTCTCTTGTTTGCACCGTCAACCGGAACATGGTGTCAGGCACCCGGGGTGGATATAGAGAGCTCGGCAGCCTCGCGAGGATGTAGGTGACTGATCTCTCCGAAAGTATTCGCCTCCTCTTGGGGTCCCAACTAGCGCCTGATGGAGAGATAGAGAGATAGGGAGAGGGATGGCGAAAGGTGGTAGGCGCATATCACACCCACGCTCGCATGATTGATAACGGAAACGACCAACACCTTCATGCTCTTACGCGAGCAATCAACACGCAATACTTCCGCTCATCAAACAGTGCGGCACATACACACACACATACCTAGAGAGCCCTTAAGGAAACCTTCAACATTCGTAGATTGACATGCATAACAGACTACGCAACCTTTGGAGTCATGGACACATCACACGAGGATAAACCAGCAATGGAGAAAAAGCTTCGTCTTTAAAAATACAAAATTATCACGACTGACCATTCTGGGCCAAGTCCCCAACCAATCCGCCAAGACCACCAACAACCATAGCCGCAAGGCCCAGCCGCTATCGACATCTGATCTCCACCACCGCTCTGTTCCCCTGACTGCCTTACCCCAAGTCCACCGCTAACTCCGCCACCAGCCGTCGCTCCGCCCACCACAGGGCACGTCGAGCCTTTCCGGCACCGCGGGCTTCGCTCATACCTTGCGCAGCTTGCAGCCGAGATCAAAAGAGAGCGAGAGGAAGGGTTTGCGAGAATTTATAGTGCGGAAGGAGACGGAGAGGCTGCACAAAGCACAGGGTGTAGAGGAGCAGGACATGAGAGGGTCAGATTTTCCAGAAGAGTCGAAGGAGGCAAATCGAATGGTCTGTGTGATTGGGGTGGTCGTCTAAGTGGGGTGCGCTTCCCGCGGCCACCACATTGCCCCCATTATCTTAATCAGACAGCCCATCATTCGCAAGGAAAGGAGGAGTGGATCAGACTTCACTTGGAGGGAAGACGAAGAGACATGCAGGGGGGAGATGCACCGCAAGAAGGGAAGATGACCCGGGGATGCAGAGCGGGAGAACACGTTTACGAGGCGCACAAAAATTCGAAAACAATCGCGCCCGCAAAAATTCAAAATTCCTACTCCCGCTAATTCCCAACCGTTTCTTGAATTTCTTGGCACGACGGCTAACCGGCCAAGCAAGACTCAAATTAAGTTTTCTACCTCGTCCCTCTTATGAAAGGAAGAAAAAAAAAAAAAAAAAAAAAACGAAAAA